TAGAGATTCAAAATGGCATATAAAATTTTTAGCCAAGTTCTTGTTAATATATTCTTTTAGTATAACCAACTCATTTTTTGATAAGCTAGAAATTGATTTGAATGGTAGTTGAATTCATTCTTGAAGATCAATCAAATAGTCATAGAAATGATGCTTTAGAAGAATATTTGCATTTGTTTTTCAAAAATATCTTAATAATCTTAGTACTAGCTTAAAATGCCACTTATAGTTTTTTTCCATCAAAAATAGATGTGGCATATACAGCAAAAGGTGATTCTTTTTTTGCAAAATACATAAAAGTTCTTGCATGTATCAATAAGAGTTTGGATATATTGGATTTATAAGTTTCTACTTGATTAAGAGAATTTTGAGCTAAACTACAAAAAAAATTAATATTATAAAAAATATAGTCTATTTGAAGATTATACTTTTTTAGCCATGATAATCCTAAAATAAATAAGTTAGAAAGTGATCTAATCATATTAAATATTACTAAGCTATTATAATCTTTAGTTGCTACATCTTATTTTATTTTTTTATTTTTATAGATAGTATTTCTAGAAGATAATAGACCACCATCTATAACTTCTACATGTACCAAGTTATTTTTCTTAATTAAAGATATTTCTTATTTTTTAACAAAGGCTTCATCTATAAAGAAGTTAAGGCTTTTGAATCTAATAAGACAAAGACTTTGTGATTTTTTGGTCCTAAATAAACTTCTATTGTAAAACAAGATAAGAGATTTGAGAAAAGAATATGATCTTTAGTAGGTGTTATGAAAGATTTCAATCACATAGTCTGTATTGTAGCTATAGAAACTTTTTTTTTTATACATTGTCTTCTTTGGCAATTATGCTCTTTATTTTGTAATTACATTGTTTCTTTAAATAATATTGAATAATGTGCTCAGTTTCTTTATAGTATAAGCACAAATCTTTTTGATGATGTCAAGTCTTTTCTTACTCAATAAAAAGTTTAAAATGTATCATGTCAATTTGCATAAATTTTTGCCTTGATAAATAAGCTTTAGTTAACTTAGAAGTTTTTGCTATGACTTGACTTATACCTCTCCAACCAAACTTTTGTTCTTAAAATCTTTCAAAGAATCAAGTGTCGTATGCAATGGCTTAAATAATAAATTGATCTAATGAGTCTATTCTCAGCATTGTCAACAATAAATCTTTGACATTGTCTTTTAACTCATATCAAAATTGATTAATAAAGGCTTTGTCATTTTCATCCACATTGTAATTAAGATTTTGGAATTTTACAGCAAATATAGTAGTTAAACGTGATTTTTATCATAAAAATAGGAATTTTATTTTTGCTATCTTTTTTCAAATATTTTTTCCAAATAATGCTATAAAGACTTTTAAGAGTGAATTCAAATTATAAAAGATTTGTGAATCCTTTTCTATCAAAGGTGCAAAGCAAGTGAAAGCACTCTTAGATAAAAATGCACCTATGAATCCAACTTGAGTAAATCCATCAAGGTATTGAAAAAGATGAAATCTTAGAAAGAACTTCACTTGTTGTAGAAATCCTGAAAACTTTGATCTTATTCCATCAAACTTTTTTGGCACATTTATCCTTATTTCTTTCATAATTATAGAAATAAAGCTACTTATATTCAATTATGAAATTGATATACTTATCTCTTTTAATTATGTAACTTTTTGGTGTAGAATTTAAATCTCATTTTTGACTTCTTTCATAAGCATAGAAATACTACTTCTATGGTTCATATTAGAAATATATGAAATTTTGATCCTAAGAATATTAAGAAGCTTATGAAGATTTGCAATAGTTTCAAATCTATTTTCTTTTCCACCATGAGTAGCATCCATAATTTTTCCTTCCATAGATAATTCAAATAAATCTAGAAGTTAAATTAGAAGAAAGTAATCTACAACCTTTAATGTCAAATAAAAATTTCTACAAAGAGTGATAGTCTACTCTCTTTAAAGAAAATAAATAATATTTCAAAAATTAAAAGTTAATTTTAAAATAAAAATAACAAATTAGCATACTTATCAAATTATCAAGGACATAAATTTTAAAAAACGAAAAGATCAATAAATTCTTGTATCACTTAGAAAGATTATAAAATCACTCAAACATAGTATAATATGAAACTAAAATAGCTATTACCAAAGACAAAAAGACTAGAAAGTCTTAAAACAAGCTAAAGACCAAAAAAACATTGATAAGAGTGAAGAAGGCTTTATTCTTGCATGTATATATACTATCTAATTAAGAGCTATTTGGTGACATTTTATAAGACATTCAACACATATCATTTGTGAGACACATTTCTTAACTTGTAAGGCAAGTTTTTAATATACATGCTCGACTATTAGCTTATACCTCAAGCTACTCATACATGCAACATATGGCTAATTTGTTGGCCAAGTTTCTAATCTATCAATCAACTATTAACATGTATAAAGTTAAATATGCATCTATAAAGCTTCTAAGAAGCTTTGCTATAAGATAATATTAAATCTTATAAAAATCTTTTTCATGAGATATTATTTCATTTTATTTGCTTCTATTTAATTCTATATAATTTCTTTAATCTAGATAATTTTTAATACAAATATGTATATTTGTGACAAGTATACATGGACTTAATTATATTATCTAAAGAATCTTTTGGTATTATAGAAACTTCTTGATAAAAATTTTAATATATCTTAAATTTTTTAATATTCATAAATATAAAATATATAATTTTAATGAATCAAAATCTCTTAAGTTAAATATTTTGTATACTTCTGCCTTTTTAAATCTTTTGTAGAAGCAATATTGATTTTCTATAAAGCCACATATATCTATGACTCTTGCTTCTATTACTACCTTTATATCAAAATAGTTTGTTCTACACAAAATCAATCTAATATATTGTATAATATATTGATGCATTATATAATTAATTTAGAGCTTGACATTTGATAAGGTCAGTTTTATTCTAAAAACTTAGATTTGACATTATGTTTGACTTGAAAAATAAAAAAAAAAAAATTACAATAGCTTGAACAAAGATAATTACATGATTCTTAAATAGTATCAAGTTGACTTCAAATTATTATTGCAAATGCATGGCCCCTATAAAACACCTTCAAAAAATATCATGTTTGACTTTATTTTTCTTTTAAATTGTGTAATCACTAACATCCACTTTTACACCTATATGCTTATAAAGTATATGCAACCACTTGTTATAATACTTGCTATCTTTGATGTGAATTCTATGTTTTGTTAGACAAATAATTTATCCAATCTATTTATTTAAATTATCTAAGTACATCAAGAAATACATTATATCCATCTTTGGATTTATATATCTTAAAAATAAAATAAAATGTGTAACATATACTTAAAAATAAGAGGTCTAAAAATTCCAAATTATAAATTATAAACTTAAAAAAATAATATAATTTGCAACATCTTTATAGAATCATTTAGGATTAATTTTAAGAAATCTAAAAATAAGATAAATCAAGCTATAAGTCAATCTCAAAGTCAATCCTAAATTTAAAGCTTAACTATCAATATTTCACAAATAAAAAATTTGTAGGACAATTTGACTTTATCACAAGAATTGTATATATGAAAAATAAGGGTATAAGTCACTTCAAATCAAAAATAAAAAAAAAAAATCAAACCATATCAAAATTTCATAGGACATCCTAAATCCTAACTCCTAAATTTATAAATTCTAAACTTAAATACTAAATCTTTGATACTAAATCTTGAACCTCCAATCTTAAGATTATTAGAATATGTAAAAAAAAAATTAGAAAATACATCTCACATTCTATAATTTCTATATTTAAACTATAAAATGTTTTTTTAATGATATATAATTACTATTCTTGTAATGATCATTATTATTGCCATAATCACTTTGTATAGATTGTGGTCCTTTATTTGGGTTTATACTAAACTTTTATCCTACAATCTACTTATAATTCATCTATTTGATAAAATTTACCTTGGTTAGAATAGTTTCATCCTTTGAATAAGATACTACTTTTAATCTTTGATTAAGCCAATTTTTTGTTATAAGCAAGCCCTGACTGAAGATAGCAACTTTAATACCAGCAAGTACACTATATATTGTTACCATCTACATGTTCCGTAGATTTGGAATAAAAAACCCCTAGAAAAGGGTGAGAGCTAATGGCAATGCCTTGCCTTACACCTGCTGTGTGGTGCCCTGTTTCAATCATCAATATAAAAGGACTATGTGATTCATGTGGCTTGAAGCAAAAGGGAGGCATGGCATATGAAGCTTAATAGTGTATTTTTCCTGGGCCTTACAATCACAGACTGATCATATAGAAGTGCACACACGAGGAGCATCATACTTCATTCACCTATTTTACCCAATTTTAACCAATCACACTCATTTAGAAAAATTCACCTCTAAGTTAAATTTGACTTCAGAAAATTTTAAATGCACCAATTTATAACCGGGTAGGTATAAGTAAAGACTAGTCATCATTTCTTTACTGAGACTGTATGTCAATTACAACTGGGTATGTGATATGTAGACTGTATATGAACACATTTATCCCGTGTAAGCAGGGTACCAATATCATCCCAGGATATCAGACGCCCAAACCCGGCAGTTCCGGGGTGTCAATGTTGATGACGGGGTATGAATGAGATAAGCGTGCAGGGCATCAATGTTGACTCGGGTATTGATATTCACCGGCTCCGGTGACGGGATGTGGGTCGGCTGACCCGTCGCTGCAGTCGTCGCCGCAAAAGTATTTTCCAGTAGTAACGTTAATATTGTAATCTCACCATGCAGTGGTTGGATTTTCACAAAACAATTGTTCTATTTCCTCAGTCATGCCGACTTTGTCTTTATACTGTTATTGTACGGTAGAGTTCTATATTAAGGAATTTCGGAACGCAGTAGAATCTCACCATTTCACACTGCCTACTTGCAACAGTAACCCCCGCTGCAAAGGGTTTAAGAGCAGCCAACTCTTGCAGTAGAATCATCCAAACGAATAGAATGCCAAAACATGTTCATATAAAAATCACGAAAAATCGTGTAGGATGTACGCTGACCTGCACTATTCGAAGTCCTTGCGACTGCTGCTGGATCGTTGTCGCACCAACAGTATGCTGTACTGGCTGTTGCTTGAGCGTGGCACCGACGTTCCCGTGGAATCATCGACGTGACCTAGGCAGCAATTTGGGTGTGATGAATTTGATTCGGAGCTGAAATTCGCTAGGTAAGAGTTGTTTTGCAATTTGCAAATTTCGGATGTGTGGGATGCCATGTGGTGCTCTTCACCTCTACTCTTGGGGAGCTTAATTTTTACAGAAATTTGGGCTTTTGAGGTGTGTTCCGTCACAGAAGCTTTCGGATTTTAGGACTCGGTCCTGACACGGGAAACTTGTTGTGTTTTCCAGCGTAGGTGCGGTCGATATCGCGACTCAAATTGCTCAAGTCCGTGGATAATTTTGAAGGATTCTGCTTTTTAAGGTTCTAGAAACGGCGGCAATTATTTATATTGTGAGTGGAGATCCACAGTTGCTATTTAGAAGGGTTTCCACTGACGGATTGCCTGCACAGTTGTTCAAGTTGTGAAGGATTTTCTATTCTGATTTTCAGAGGACCCAAGCTTAAATTGAATCAAGACCTAATTTCTCCGTTCCTCGATGTGATGGAGAGCTACGAGGCGACAGTACTGCGCTAGAACTCTTCAGTTTCTGAAGTTTTACCAGGAAGCTTTTCAAAATTCAGTTTACTTCGTTTGCATGTGAGAAGAAATCCGGAGCCTACCTTGTGAGGATTCAACACCCCTTGGGATGTAGTAGTTTGTTGTCCAGATCCATTAGCTGTTACGTCCAATTTTTCAACGCACTTATTTCGAGAGCCCTGTGTGCTTTTAGTTTGTCACTGAAAGCGAATGTTGACATCTGAAATATATGTATCCATGATGAGGCATTACAGGTCGTAAGCTCTGCAGGTGAAGGGGCATCTGCTGTTGACATCATGTCTTGGCTCTCGTTCATGTAAGTTTCGATTGCCTTGATGCCGATCCTTTTTAGTTAGAAATTTTGTTCGAATTAGTGATTCAAAAAATAAAGTTCATAACATGTATATATCCAGTTAGCAGCATATATTTCTTGGAACATGTGCTCAAGTTCTGTTAGATGTTATTTATTCGTTTCTAATGTGACATCTGCTGTGTAACATTGGCTTGGAATTTTTGACACCATGTATGAGAATGTAATGTACTAGCGCGCCACCAAGACTGTTGATTAAGACACTTTTTAATACATTTGAGTGTCTTAATTAATGAAAGTCTTCGTTAGCTTAAGATATTTTAATGTCAAGCAATTTCTCAAGTCCTCATTTGCAAAAACTGGAATTTCTTAATCAAGTCTTTTAAACCATCTTTTTTGACAATGGTGAATGCTCAAGAAGGCCAAAAACCTGCCACAGGTAGAGATGGGTATTACAAAATCTGGGGAATTGCTGAGACTGCAAGAAGAATGAATCTAGCAATATATGGTTAATGACTTGAATTTTTAGTTAATAAAATCAGTACCATCCAAATTCAAGTGTGTTGGGTATGACAGGGAGTCGGTCTGTCTACAGGAATGGTGCAATGCATCAATAATGTTGCACTGCAAGACATAAGAAGCACAGAAACTGCTGAAGTTGTGGGTTAGGGGGAAATAGAAACCGAGCTCAATCGTTAGACCATAGACCACAGCCACATGCCAGATATTTTGAAACTGTTGCAGATACATATGGTTGATTTTGTAGCCTCTGTTCGTGTGTGTGAAGGAAGGGGGTCAATTGCATCAGACTACATCGTGAAGGTTGCAACGCTAAAGATAAATCCAATTCCCATATTGAGCGTACATTACGTTGTGTTTTCTCGTTTCTTGATCATTGATACTCGGAATCTTTTTTGGGGAAAAAGTATCTCCTCTCCACCGTGACATGCTCTGCCGACTCAACTACTGTAGAGTTCGTTGCAACTGGTCGCTTTGGCCATCACTGCTGATGCTATTCCTTTTGGTGATTGGTGCCTTGTTCTCGGGTTCTAGTCGATTTTAAGAACGACTGCTGTAAACAAGATGCAACCACAAATTTCTTGTAACCCATATCATGAGTAACTTGCATTTTCAGATGACCAAACGTAGGATTAGAGCCCTGATTATAGACCACTTAGATGGACGCATGTTATTTGAAGTTCAATAAAATTCTTACAATTCATTTTATTATTATTTTTAATATTAAAGAAACAAAGTTTGATGTGATAGGAATTAATAAGTCTAAAAAAATCTCTAATATTTATTTAAAGTTAGAATCAAAACCTTTGTAATAAAATTAAATAAATTTTTGATTATTATAATTTAATGAAAATTAAAAAAAATCTTGCAATATGCTTATACAAGTTTATCTAGTAATCTTCAAGACAATTACAATCAATCCATTTTGTACCTCTTTTTATAATCAAATATAATATATCTTATTTATAGCTTTGATTAAAGACTATGTAATTATCTCTACCATAAATTGATTAAATAGAATTTGAAAAGCTAATTTTAAAGCCTCTATTATTATCTTCTTTATATAATTCTCTTTGTGCTTATTTTAAATTATGCCTTTGGATTTGAGTGTATTTAAATATCAATAATAGAAAGCTATTTTTTTTAAAAATAAGCCAATTAAAATACTTAGATTGTGGAGTTATTTTAAGTAATAATTTATTTTAAATAACTACCTAATTTAGTTTTTAGATCTCAGTAATGCCTTTTTAATAAAAATTACTTAAGTCTTCTTTAACCTATGAGAATAATAAAGATATTATTTGGATAAGAAATTTAAAAACTCATCTAATTTTAAAGTCTTTTGTGCAATAAAACCTATATCTTTTCTTGATATTATATAAATGTATATAAAAAATATTTAAAATACTTAACTTCAAATTATTACTATTGGAAGCAACCTACTCTCAATGTCTTTAAGTCTAAAGGCTTCTAAAATCAAAGAAATGTTCAACTCTTAGGACCTTCTTTAAAAGAAAGATTCTATCCTCACATGTATTATTCTAATAATCAATTCTTTTATTATTCAATTAAATTTCTATAGGTGATTAAGTAATACTCTATATCTTATAGAAAATATGTCTTCTTTAAGCTTATTCTATATATTCTCCTCTAATGGATTAATTGGATTAATATTTTAGAGCTAAATCTTGGATATTATCTTTATTTAGATCTTGGCCATTTTTATGGATTGAATCTTAATATCATTTCTCATTTGCAAAGAAATTCTTGAATTTTCAATCCAATTCACTTTAAACAATTTTTGACTACTCTATTACTATAATTCTTGATTTGTTCAAATAAATCTCTTTGAAATTTAAAAGATTTAAATATAAATTTCTTTGTACTTCTATTTAATTTAAATTTAAGATATTCTTAACCTTTTAGCAAGTACATGATTTGTCTATGCTCATAATTCTCTTTGTCTTTATTTAATTGACACATGCAAAAAAAATAAATAGTCTACTAAGTTCTTCTTTGGGAATTAATACATATTGCTAATGTCAAGCAGAACACCATTGACAACAAACACTTGAATTGCAATGACTGGCCTTATAGACAATGTCATAGTAAATCTCTAATATGCTTGCAATTCTTTTAGTAATACTAAAAAATCAATGGTATATAGTATTTTATAGTTTGTAATTAAATTAGATAAAAAATTAGAACTAATTTCAAATCTTTTGAACAAATTATTATGAAAATTTGTGAAACATGTTATGATAGTAGATAATAAATTTTGAAAGTTGTAACTAAATATTCTACACTTAATATCAATAGTAATTTTGAGTTGATGGAATACATTTATAAAGTAAAAAAGAGAAAGAAGAAGAAAATGTAATCAAAGAAAAAATAGATATACTTATAGAAGAGTTGAATATAAAATCTTATATATAAATGATGAGAATAATTTTAGATATAATTGTTTAAAATTCGAAGATAGAAGTTGTTATAACACATCAACATAGTCTTTATTATTACAAGATATAAATAAATTAATATATTTTTTCTTGGAAATAGATTCAATCTTGTCTAGTAAAATATGGTTTTTAAATCTAATATCTATAATTGAACCACTTAGATTTAAAAATAAATTATATCAAAAAATATATGTAAATAAAACATAAAGTTGAATCTTTTAATATAAAAGAATTAAAATAATATGTGATATTAAAATATAATAATTTAAATTATTTATGATTATTATAAATTAATAAATTTGATAAAATATTATTTTTTTGTACAAATTTTTATTTTTTTAAAATTAAATGTATAGTAGTTTAAATATCATATGTATATTGACCAAGAAAGATGAGCATAAATTGTCTCTACTTAGAATTTGTTATACAGGAAAAAAGAATACATTCAAAGTTGTCATGTTGCATGTTTGTAGCTATCAATGTGACATCACATGCTTGAATGTATTATTTTGTCTTCTCTAGTACCTTTTCAAATCATGGCATCAAATATTTATACAAAAGTTGCATTTTGAAAATAAAATAAATAAATAAATAAATAAAATGATGAAAAAATATTAGCACACAAAAAGTATATATAAAAAGAAAAGATGGACATCTATCTTTAGATAGCATAGCCATTACATAGATAAATATTTTCTTAACTAAATCAAGGAAGCATTTAAGGAAGTAATGTTGCGTGCTTGATGTTTTTGCAGAACAAAGGCCCGAATGACTAGTTAAATCATCACACATATTTAAATATCTCTAAGGCTTGCATAATAAACTTTAAAAATTGAAGCATGTTATAATACAAATCTTGTAGAATATAGTCCAAATACCAAAAAGAATTTTTAAGACTAAAAAGTTTAAAACTTTGGTAAAATGTCCAATATAACTTAATGTCTATGAACTTTGTAATAATTGCAATGTGTGATAAATTTGATAGTTTTTTTTAATCATAAGTGGTGTGCATCACATTTGATTAATGGAATATTATCATATACAGAGGAGTAATGTATATAGAAAAGCAATGTGGACAAAGCCGCCTAACACTAAGGGAATGGATGGAGCAATTGCACTTGCCTAATTGCAGCATTGATCTTGTTGTAATCAAGGATATCAAATCAGAAGAACTTGTCAAATAAAACAATCCTCTCATTTTGACTCGGATGATAGGATGTGTGTTTATTATAGATGAACTAATATCAAGCAACAATAAAATAAAAAATTAAGCTTAAAATATATATATATATATAAGTGAAAATGTACACAAATAAAATATAAATATTACTAAAATTAGAGTGAGCATGGAAATATAAGCAAGGATAATATTTTTAGAAAATACATATAATTTTTGAATATGAATAAGACTAAACCTAATTTTTAATATCATAGCAATATACATCAAAGTGTAATAATAATAATAAAATATATATATATATATATATAATTTTTTTTATAATTATTTTTATTTAAACAAAAAAATATTTACACTATTTTTTATTCTTTTCTTTGTTTTAAAAACAAGATATGTATCACAAAATAAAATTTATTTTTGAATTTTAATTTTTTAAAGTTTACTTACAGATATGATTATCTAATAAGAAAATTTTATTTTAAATTTTCATCCTTATTGTGGTTTTACTTTGTAATTTTAAAATTCTAAGATATTTTATATGATTTTTCTTACATATTTATTTGTAAAATTTTCAATTTTTTTCTTTCAAAGATTATATCTATGATTAAAGTAACGTCATATACATTATTTTTATTTTTATTTTATTTATGAAAAATAATAATTAATTTTTTATTAAATTTTATATTTAAATATATTTATAAAAAATTATATTTTATTATTTAATTTATAATTAATATATATAATATTTAAATAATTTTTAAAATTTCTATCATATATTCTTAAATACTAATTTAAAATATATACTTTATTTTATTAATTTTTTAACTATTTAATTCATTAAATTTGTATTACATATTTGAAATCAATAATTTCTTATAATGTTAATTTATAGAACTTATTATATTTTAAAAAATATAATTTAGTAATACTAGAATGAATAAATAAATAATTATTATATATAGAAACATAATCTTTAAGTTATTTTTAAAAAAATGAAAGGACATATATCTTCATGTCTTTAAACAAAAATATTTTTTCCAAATATTACTTTGTATATATTAAGATAAGATAAAAGAATATTTCAAATATATGAAAAGAATAATATATGTAAAAATAATTTATAAAAGATTCTTCTTATAATTTAGAATAAAATACCAATTTAATATAATAATATTAAGAAGTTATTAATATAATATTTAAAATATATATACATATATATAATATCGAATTAAATTATTATGATTTTTTTGATATATATGATAATTATTTATAGAATAATAAAAATATAATGATAAGATATTATTGGTGATTTAATAAAGTTTTTAGTATTTTAGCAATTTATAAAGGTATATAAATTAAAAAAATACATGCATTTTTAGACTTAAAATAAAAAACAAAATCATACAAATAATCTCTATAAGTATCAAGGGTATATATTTTTATTCTAATTATAAACTTATATAATATGAATATATAAAATATATAAATGTAGATAAATTTAATAATATCTCGTAAAGAAGCTTTTTAGAAGCTTTTTAGAAGCTTAATAGAAGACCTTTGCCTATACATGTGTCTATATATGATTGATAGGTTAAAAACTTAGCCAACAAATTGACTATGTATTATACATGTTAGTAATTTGTGATATAAGTTAGACATGAGACATATATAGATTTACCTTGCAATTTAGATACTTAACTTATAAGTTAGATATATGTTGGAGGTTCTATAGAACATTGCTACTTAGCTTCTAATTAAATAGTATACATAGAAGCAAGAGTGAGGCCTTGCTCATTCTTATTAATTCTTTTCTTGCTTCTTGTTTAGTTTCAAGAGTTTCTAATTTAATAGTCTTAGATAATAGTATTTATAGTTTTTTTTTGATAATATATATTTTTTTTCATTTTTTTAAAAAAATATAGTTGTATTATGTGTTGTCTTGTTTGAAAATGCACCAAGTACCTAACAATAGAAGGTGAAGCTATCTTTTACAAGTATCCAAAAAACCCTAATAGATTTCATCCATACAAGAAAAATACAGTTCAAATTTCAAATCAAAAATGCTTAAAACTAATACGAAGTCCTCAAAAATACTCTTTTTAGTAACCTCAACTATTTACAAACTCCAATTGTCTTATTTCTTTCATAATTAGGCAATTTTAATTTCTCTTTGCAAGCCCTAATCCTAGTTGGTGAGTTTCAGCAAGCTATAAAACATAATTTGATTGTCCACTTGATAGAAAATTTTATATACAAATGCCACTACAAGTCTTCTATATGCTCCAAAGAATTCAACCTAATCCAACGTGTAGATTGTGAAAAAACATCCAAAAAACCACACTAATGTGACTCAGTTGCCAACTTGAAAGTTAATGCAGATTTTCTAGTAGTAATTTTTCTTTCTTCAATTTCTAATTTAGCTCAAAATTTTTTATGTAGCCTAATCTTCAAGTCTTCTAATACCATGATAAATTTCATCTTATTTTACTAATACATCTTTAGATATCAAACAAAACCCTATCCAATTCCAAACTACCAACTTTCAATATCTTCTTGTATCAAAAACCAGATATCTATCTATTGCATTGTTAGATTAATAAGAAATTTATTTTTAACAATAAGATCTTTTAAAGCTAATATTTTTGTATTTTTTTATAATAAATAATAAAGATATTTAAATTTTTATTTTGTATTGTAAATAATTATGAAAGATTATTTATAATAATAAATTAAAGATATTTCAAAAATAGTTGATTAATTATAAAAATCTAAAATCAATTGCAAAGTTGTATGAAAATTGAAGTATAAAATAAGATATAGAATCTTTAATTAAAGCAAAAATTCAACCTTGCTTAAAAAAATGTTAACTAAGAAAACCTATGGGCCACCCACATCACCAACTTTTTCTTCATGGACTGCTTGATTTGTACTTGAATGTCAATGCCCAATGCCGAGCCACCAAGACAACCAATAGGCCCCAATTTTGTTAGTATAGATTGAGTCTTGCTCTTATCCAAGGCTATGCCAACTTGCCCACAAGTTAGTTTTAGAAAATAACTAAGAGAGAAGGCCTTGACCTTAAAAGAAAGAGATGAAAAAATAAAAAAAAATGGAAGGACTTATTTGTTTTTTATATATATATATATATATATATATATATCTATTAATTTTGGTTTTAAAAAAATATGCTTAAATCTGCGTGTTTTTTTAATAATTGTTTGTATTCTCAATAATATACATTATTATTAAAAGTTAAGATGATGTAATTAGGATATTTTTTTAAAAATATTATTCATTTTATTATGATTGAGTGTGATCAACTGCACAAATTTCCGCAAGTTTTCACATATATAGACAACAGAAACGAAGAAGGAAAACGGCGAATAGAACTAGGAGGGAGACGAAGAAAAGGCGAACGGGAAGGCAGCAGAACGATGCGTAGAAACAAGGGCTGTCAGCGCGGTTTGAGTCTTGGTCCCTTCTTTCTTCTGGTCTCGGATGGTATCAGCTCGCATTCCCGCTCCCCGAAACCAGAAGCAAAATCGAAACCACGCCCAGTTTGCGAGCCCTGATTCAGGAGGCAGGCGTTGTTGATCAATCCACACTCGCTTGCCATCTCGCTCATCGTCTCTTCCTCCTCCTCCTCCTCCTGCATTTAGTGCTCTCGTTACCCTTGCTGCCCTGATCCTGGCCTTCCCTTTCTCCTTGCTGAATGGCTTGCTAATCGATTGATGATGTGACCTCGCCTTCGCGATTGTTGAGTGTGATTGAGTGAGTTTGAATACAATTTGTCAAGGTTTCGGCAATGTCGCCAATGTGAAGAGCGGGAGAATTGTCGTTGTTCACAGCAGCCTTCCAAGGAGTTTTGGTAGGTCTATCACTGGCCTAGTGAGGCGGAATGGCGAGTACCGGCGTCGTTTTAGCATCGGCTGACTTGGTTGGACCTACGGACGGTGTCTTTGAGGAGCTCACCGGGCCTCTCAAAGGGTGGAAGCGCAAGGTGCATAGAAATGCATAATCCTCTCTCTGTAGATTGTTCTTGCTAATTTTGTATTGAATTTTTCGGAGGCTGTTAGTGCATGCATCGTCCACCGCAAAGCTACCATGTGTAGGATCCTTGTTTATTGTATTCTTTTTTTTATCACCTTGTATTTTTCTCTTCATCTTTTTACCACATTGGCTCATCGGTCTTGTCTAGGTTGTTTTTTGGATCGATAGGCTGAGTTGCAATTCTCAATCATTTAGATGTAGATAGTTTCGAGGTGCGAGTAGTCGTGTGACTTCTTTGAACATTTATCCACCTCAATGAATTGCGTGATTGCTCTATCTGAGCTGTTTGCTGTAACGGATGAAGTGACTTGGAAGGTTTAAGTAGAAATTTGTGCTCCGAAGAATTTCGCAGTAAAGTATATTGTGTTTGTCGTGAATTTCACTAAGTTTTGATATTCACTTGACTTCGTTGTGTATCATTTTCAGCTCTCTGGAAAGAAGGGAGGGACTCCAAGAAAGAAGGATATGGCATTTGTGTCTCCAGATGGGGAAGAAATATCGAATAAATGGCAATTGGATAAGTATCTCAAGTCTCATCCAGGAGTAGCCGTCGCAAGTGACTTTGAGTGGGTCGTATCAGGTAGGCGTGCTCTCATCGTCTCTGTGACTGACTGATCCATGATCTTACAGCATTTCCAAGGCATCCTTATGCAATCATTTATCATCCTTTCACTTAATATTTCCTCGTGCCATCCAACGAGACAAAACGGTTAATTTACGAAAGGTTTCTATTATATTCCATTTTGAAGGAAATTTAGACGGTGCTAACAATGTTTTGTTGTGAAAGCTGCTGCGACCCCAAGCGGGACACCAAGAAGGTCTGCAAGGTTGACCCCTAAAGGCCGTTCTTTCACTGAAGATACTGACGAGGAGATGCAACCAAAAGAACGTCCGCTTAAGCGAGCACGGAGATGTCTTAATGGGATAGGAAAAAAAGATGGTGAACTTCCGGAGATGGTCAACGCATCTACTCAAGACGACGAAGAGATAGCGAACGGCAAAAAACTTTCCAAGATTAAAGAGGTAGAGTACTCAGAGCTCTAAGAAAACCACGTTCTTATTTGAGCAGTTCCCAACTCTCAAATGAAAGAAATGTTAAGAGAAAACGTATGTATTCTAGGTGGATGGGAAATGACTAGGTTTTGAATGTCAATAGAAATATGTTAAAACGTTTTAGGATGAAGTTAATGTGGAAATTATTGAGAGGGACAGCGAGCGATGGAGGATCTGATCAAGGATCTTGTTCGTGAAGGAGCAGAATGGAAATGACATGGAGAAGGCTACGCTTTTGAGATCGGGCAGCGACAGCTACAATCTCCAGCTAAATAGCATAAATTCCTCCTCGTGGGACCCTGCTGGTATAGTCTACCTTTTTATATCCATCACCTATTTACATAACCAGGCACGTCAGCATCATTGTTTTCCTTTGTGTTTTGATCTTGCTCCATTAATTTCTTCCAACTTCGATCTTCTCTGTCACAACACTAGTTTTTTGCCTGCTTGGTTCTTGTTGAAGACTTATCTTGGTTGACACATTTCTGGAATTTCCGATTTTAAAATTGATACTTTTCTTGCTTCTGGTTGTTTTAAGCTTCATAAAGCAAGAGTTCAAGGACTTTGTGCCTTACATTTTCCTTACAATAAATCTCTTTTGTGTTTTTGATCATTTCTTGTTCTGCTCAACATATCCCTCCATTTATTTACGATAATGATCTGATTTCCGTGATGATCCTAATTATCGTAACTAGGACTCATCTCCAGCTACTGGTTGCCGCATATATTTATGCATCTTTCATTCCTGTGAGGCTATTTATATTTTAGCTCATTTTATAGGGCATTTTTAGAAATGTTTTAGGTGGAGGAAGCCCATTGTTAACGTGCCGACTAACAAAGTAATCCTATGCTTTGCAGAAAGTTCTCATATTCTGGCTGTGAAGAAAGCTTTGCATTTGTCTGCAATTCCATCATCAGTCTTGTGCAGAGATGTCGAGCAGGCGAAAGTGATTGAGTTCTGTAAATCATCTATTGTACAGCAAGTCCCAGGAAGCATTTACGTTTGTGGATGTCCGGGAACCGGGAAATCGTTGACCATGGAGCAAGTAAAGCTACTTAGTGTATCTTGGGCAGCTGAGGTAATGTCTCTGATTTCAATTTTCTTTTAGAGCTGTTGGGAGTTTCTTTCTGGCTTAATTTATCTACAGGCGCTATTTACTCAACTTACGTTCGAAGCTGTGTGATCCCTTGAAGTGCTTTTGCGTGAGACATACACAAAGAATCCTCTTGCAAGTAATATTGTGTGTAAGGAGCTAATCAGAATACTGTTGTGTAGGCGAACTTGTCTCCTCCAGATATTGTATCTGTTAATTGCACTACTTTGACCGACCCACGAAATATTTATCAGAAGGTGAGGATGACGCAACGTATCCTGTTAGAAGAATTCGGAGCTTTCAAATGACAATCCTCCATACTTTATTATTTTTGAGGAATCATGACTCAGAATACAGATTATGAAAACCCAGGAGCTTGATTCCAGTGAAAGTTTTGACTACAAATTTGTACTTGCTATCCACCTACATCTTTATGAAACAAATGTCTGCTGCATTAGAGTATTAGACACAAGAATAGGAGAACACCTCATGTAAATTCATGTAAACTTATATAGCACTGACTATCCTTTCAGGTCCTGCAATCATTGAAGCAAAAAGAGGCTTCTGATGACGTTGTAAAGTCTTGGTCTTTGTGCTTAAAAGAATTAAGGCAGAGAGTGTGTGATACGTCTCGGAAATCTGGTGGATCACCAAGACATATGCTGTGAGTTCTCATTTACTTCCTCCGAATGTGTGGAGTTATATACAAATTGTCTTCCTTACTATATTCTAGTCAAATTTTTCTACTGAGGTTTAATAAGCCTTTCTATCAGCAGAAGCTTAAACTACACTTTGTGGACTGCTTTGTGGATTTGTAACTAAAAAGCCCATTTGTTCCAGTTCATAGTGCTGTCAGGATCTGCAGTTTTAATGCAAAAGTGTATGGGATGACAGGTTGCTCATTGTAGATGAGATGGACTACCTTATTACAAGAAATCAGGAAGTACTTTATGACTTGTTTCAACTTCCTACATATCCAAATTCGTGCTGCATACTGATTGGTAAGACGCATTACAAAATGGAAGTATTGTGTTTGCGAAGTGAACACGTCAGAAAGTGCAGAGATGAAACCATTCCCTCAATTAGCAGTCTGGAGGATTGGAGGACTAGATTGGAGTGCAAATGCTGTAAATATGCAATTATTTTTCACCTCGCTTTCATACGTTATTCTTGGCCTAAATGCTAGGTATCCTTGGGTGATTCTAATATGGGTAATGCTATTTGTGAACAGGTATTGCAAATGCTATTGACCTTACAGATCGTTTTCTACCAAAATTGCGTTCATTGAATTGTAAGAACCCCAAAAACTGGAGCCAATCTATGATTCCAGACGGATTTTGTATGTGCAACTAGGTGCATTACGTCACGCATAGCAAGTTCAAGTGTTAGTGAGCGTCTATTATTCTGTTCACTTCACTCTCCTATCTGAGTTAAGCCAAAATTCCGCAAAGTCACATATCTAGTTATACTTTCGGTTTTGTAGGCAGACCAGATGTTATCACATACCCGGCATACACAAAGGATCAAATTTCAACCGTTTTAACACAGCGACTGAAGGTATACTTCTGGCTTTAAACGCCTTTTCTATGTCCATCATCAGCACCACAGATTTTGATGAAAGATAGCATTGAAACAACTGTGACAATTCCAGCTTCTACAGCTGTGGGACAGATTAATATCTAGAATGGGTGGTGTTTCAGGGTGTTCCCTTCACAGTATTTCAAACGGCGTCAGTGGAGCTATGTGCAAGAGTAAGTTTCAGTGTTACTTGGTTCTACTTGATTTGGCCCACTTGAGCAATGTCTGACTTATAAGCACGCTTATTGAAAAACAAGCAGTGTCCAACGAACCTTTTCGTAAGCGTCTTCTTTGGCCTAGTATAAAGATTTTGTCCGAATTTCCTCTTGAAAATAGTTCGATGACTTTTCATGGTTCTTTCCAACGTTGCTTCACAGAAAGTAGCAGCAGCATCTGGGGATATGAGGAAAGCCCTCCACGTCTGCAGGTATACATGTTTGCAATTCTTGAAGTTTTACTGCACGAAGTGGGTATTTATGATGTACGTTATAGACCGAACACCAGCGTATTGTCTTAGAAAATGCAATTTCGGCCAGGGTCTACGGGGTTTTTAATGCAAAAGCTTCTGTTTAGTTATTTCATCGTGCGCTTCAGAGAATTGAAAATGTTACCAATTTTGTTGAACCTTGAATCAATTGCATGTTATCCACAGGAGTGCATTAGACATTTTAGAAACAGAGGTCAGAGCAGAGCTGGATAAAGGTGGAATCGATACTCCCTCATTGAATGTCAGTGAGTCGTCAGGTTCGGTTCAGCGATCAAGTTCCATCAAGCCGCCACATTTGGTACTTTTTCAATCCTTTCTTCATCCTAGTAAAGTTGTAATCAGAGATTTGAAACTGAGACATGAAGCGTATTAGATGTGACGGTGACAAATTAGAAATTTCTGTTATCTACTCTCCATCTGTTAAAAGGTAGAGGTAGTTGAGGAAGCCCAACAGAGAGTTCACTTTAGAAGAAGGGTTAAGCACAAACGATCATCTGAAAAGTAGATAACTTTTTGTATCGCCTACAAGAAGATTGTCTTCGGATTTGTGAAGCATTCTGGTTGTTGAGTGCCCCAACTTTTGCTCATGGTCTCTGATGGGGCATTTTATAGAGACCCAAGCTTGTTTGTAACAATGAAGTGCTCAGACTACGTTGAATGATACGTTTACAGGTACGAATTGACCACATGGCAAAAGCTCTCGCACGCACGTTTCGTTCCCCAGTTGTAGAAACTATTCAAAACTTACCTCAGCACCAGCAGGTATTATTAGCCTCCCATCCTTGAGCATTTTGTTTATCCTCAAAGTAGTTTACAATATTCCACCAAGCTAGGATATAAGTTGTAAGTTATCAACTTTGGTTCAATTTGAGTGATAGTAACTGCTCCTTGGTGGCAACTGCTCAAGGATTATACATCACTTTGAGAAAATAATTAGAATGCGACTTTGCAGAGCATGAAGCTCTTGCCTTGGAGTGGCACCATCGACCAAAATAAAACTGAATCTTATATGTGATTTCAACATATTTAGGTTGCATGCAAGTGTGTAGTTGCAAAAATAATTACCTAAATCGATGCAGATTGTTATTCTCTATGTATATTAAACATCGTATCTGCGTGTTTGTTTGGCCTTGTATGATGTAAAGAGAGATAGTAATCCAAATAATTGCCTGATTTCTAAAAGTTATCTGCCAAAGCAGATGGTGCTGTGTTCAGCAGTACGCTTATTTCGTCGTGCTAAAAAAGATGCTACCCTTGGCGAGGTGAGTTTTTCGTCTTTTGCATTGCATAGAAGCAAAGTGTTTCTCTCGTCAGATTGAAATAGATGAGGGAATGGGGTTGGATCAATTGATACTTTTTCTTACTCTGCACTTCTGGATAGTGCAGTTAAATAAAGCGTATCTTGACTTCTGTAAATCAAGCTCTATTCCTGCTCTCGCTGGCAGTGAGTTTTCGAGTATTTGTCGGGTGCTATCTGATCAGGTCTGGTTCCTTAGCTCGCGAATATAATTCACTTGCAAGTTTTGAACATGACTAAGTAATATCTGTCAACGAAGAGTTCATTTTTCTAGGTTTGATAATATGACAATCGCGCTATTGTGACAAGTTGTGTAATGCTTTTTCACATGCATATTCTCACTGTGATTGTTTTGTATAACCCATGTATAAAAGGAAGCGATTAATTAAAATGTTTCAGGATCTATCTAGTTTGAGACGCACTAATGATTGAATTTTTCGATAATCCTCATCGCCGATTTTGACATAGTTTTTTCTTATGTATGATACTTTTTCGACTGGAATACTTTTGTTCATAAATGTGGCACGTCTAACCACGCTTAGAGTTTTGTGCAATTAGGCGTTGCTGAAGCTGGGTGAATCTCGTGAAGATCGCCTTCGTAGGGTGACACTGCAAGTGAATCAGGATGACGTTGTCTTCGCGTTGCAGGTTATTCTTACTGACTCTAAGCATTACACTCGAATTGTTTCTTTTATTTTGTGTCATAGCAATTTTCAACGTGTGAAAATCTCTGGTGCTTGCATTTAGTGTAGTTGACAACTGAATGTCGATACTTAGACTCCATTGCATCGTTTACGTGAAAGGATTCAAATTGATTTGAAGCATTTCCGGACTTGTATAACCAATAAGTAAGTAGTCACCTAACGTGAGCTTCTTTCTAATGAGAGCTCATCTAGACAAAACACTCCCTTTAAACACCTTTGACTCATTAGCCTGGGTCTTCATTTTACTGATGCATGAAATTCTCTTCTGTGATATTGCAGTTCCTGATTTGCATTTGTCGATGTTCCATGGCAGGGTGTGCGATTCTTCCGTAACAGTCTCTCATGATGCCGGAATATGTGCAACCAACTTGACGTTCTAGTAGTCGTGACAAGAATCTTGGCTGAGATTTTGGCGGAGGCATCTCATATAAAGTGTTCATAGGCATGGTGACCAGTCTTCTCACCAACAGTGTGTGAAGCGCTTGCAGCCACTGCCACTCAAACGCCCTATGTCTCGATTATTGGCCGTATATGGATCTTTTTAGGTTAAGCCGTACAGCTTGCTGAACTCACGTAGTCTAAACAGCATCATTATGCAATTATTGATATACTGCATGTTAGATTACATAATCAGTTATTCACCTCTTATGCCCAAGTGGCAAAAAGGCTTTTGTTCTGCTGAATGCAGATCCTCCTTTTGCGAGGATTGCAAGGAACTACGTAAAATAGATCTTGTGGAGGGTTTCGGAATGAGATACCTTCTTACATACAGTTTCGTTATTCCAATATGAAAATGCTTCTATAAAATGATACTCTTCTTTGATATTTAACTAGGATTTGGCTATTTTTTTAAGTCACTGATATGTAATTAATAAATATTAAATTTCATGATCATAAAATGAGTGAAGATAATTGATGTTATTTAGATTTCGTAATAAAATCAAAAGTCAGAATTTATCTATCAATCAATGCTTGACACTCGTGACATTTACTAGAACTTGGACCTGAAAGAATAATGTAAGTCTAAATCTCATACCTACAACTGAAGACATGAGTAATAGAATATTTGTATAGTATCGTGCTAAAAACAATATTTATAGTATTCAACTTCTTGGACCTCATTTTTCACCTTCAATTTCACCTAAATGTTTGATTGTTAAATTGTGGTATTGTATGATACCGTATGATGTATTTAGTATTGGTTATTGTAGAACATTATATTTTTATCTAAACAACTGTTTTAATTCATGCTTTTCATTTAATAAAAGGTGAAAAAATTGTTCAACTTATACAATCTTCAGATCAGCATAATAATCATGTTGAGGTTAGAAAAATTGAATATGGTACGACACATACAATAAAAAATCCAAATAAAAATTGAATACATGTATCACATTAATCATAGAATCTGTAAATATTAACTCAAAATCATGACTTACACTTTTTCACAGTTCAAATATGAATTAAAGATCAATTGAAGTTTTTGATATAAACTATTTGTATTACACAATACCATTAATATTTATATATTAGTATTTATATTTTTATAAATGAATGAAGCTATAGCTTTTAAGCTCTTCAACAACATTAATGTTGTGATAACATACAAATTAAAATGCTTCACTGTAATGTTCTTTGTCTCTGAATGAATTAGGAATTTTTTTAAAGTTATGTTTTGTTGAAAACAAATGATGTAAGTATTTAAATGACTTTCTAAGTAAGTAAAATTGCAACTCAATTGATATACATAAGCATTCAATATATGGACAATATTAGTTTATATAATTTGGATGCATGTATAATGGTTATGAACAAAAACCTCCAATTAAGCTTTTTGAGATCATTGTCAATAAATCTTAGTTGTAGTGATTTGTAAATAATTATTATTATTTATTTTATTTAAAATTTATTAATAGTCATATTGATGGTTCAATATTTTTCAAGTTTATCAAGTCTATTAAATTAGAAATAATAAAAATAAATATTTTGAAGTTTAAAGTATTTATGTTTTTTATATGTTCAAATACTTATTTCTTTTATAATAATAGATAATTATTGTTACTAAATTTTAAAATAAAAATAAAAATATGTGTTTAAATTTTAAAAGATCAAGTATACTTATATTTTTTGTATGTATATAATACAATATTATGCATGCTAAAAACAATTAAGTATAATTTTGCACATTTTGATTTAATTTTTTTTAAAAAAATTAAAGTTTAAAAAGATTAAATTAAATTTTAAAAAGATTTATTCAATAGTTCATGTGTTTTTTTAGAATGTATAATATACATAAGTACCTTGTATAATTTAAATCTCTTGATTAATATTTCTTGCTTAACTCATAATATTTGCTAGAATAGAGGTTGGCCCTAGATTATAAACTTATAACTTTGTTTTTTGCATAATAAATCAATAAAAAAAGTTGAACTTAAGTGAAAAAATAAGTGAGAAATTTTATACTTGAATTATTGATTTTTCATGTAATAAATAGGTGAATGCAGGTTTAATAATAATAATAATAAAATTATATATTTGTATATCTATGTTTTAGTATAGATGAATATGTATCTAACAAGAAAAGAGGTTATTTGTTTGTGCATTTAGGATTTAGATTTTTGACCAAATCATTAACCTTTTGAATCTAAACAACATCTATAGCTAGTAGAGTTCAAGATGAGACAAAGATTGTGACAAACATTATGGACATTGATAATAGTTCCATTCTTATCAAGATAAAGATCAATACTAAGATTGAAGGTATTATATTTGCATACTAAGATTGAACATTGTAATTTAAAGCAACATCCAAACTTTGATTTATAGGGAGAAAGATTGTAATAAGCTTGTTATCTATTATTATTACTTTTGAAGTATAGGAACTCATATCAATTTCTTTCTAATAACATCACATTTAAAGAATTAAATTTAAAAATAAGATTTGTGATTTGAATAATAAAAAGGAGGACAATATTCTTTGTTTTTGCTTAGAAGAATGGGTTACTAATTTGAACTTATGGTCTACTAATTATATCATAGACACTACAAACAAAAAAAATACTTCAATCATCATGTATTCTATTCTAAACTAGATCTAAGATAAGTTTTTGCTTATATGCCTATGTCTTAAATCAATAAAAGTATGTTGATGAACAAATAATCTTGCATTGTCATATTGTGACATGACTACATGGTAAAAATATAATCAAAAATAAATTTCTAATTAATATCTAATCATCTTGATTCAATAATAATTCAAGATATCTAAATATAGCTTTTATAAAAGCCTCTTAGTTTGTATTCTTATCTTAATAGTTAGTAGATTAAAGGTTGGTTATTAATTTTACCTTTTAGGCTGTAGAATTCTTTTATTCCTTTAAAAAGACCATAAATTAGTAAAAATATATTAAAAGAGGTAAATAATTAGTAGAGTTGATACTAGGATTAAGCTGAAGATAGGATTGGGCTAAAAAATCCCTAAGATAGATTGGATTGGTACATGAGAGTCGATTGTTTGTGGGATAAGGTTGAAATCATACCTCTAGCCACTAAAATGACTGTCTGGGGCAAAGTATGGAGGTATTTAGAGATCGGCAACTAGGATTCAAGAGTTGGCTTTAAGTTTGTTTTAAAAGCTTAAAACTTATTTTTATAGGAATTTAAATGACTTTGCAATTTTATTCAAAGTCAGGATTTGTATTGGTGACTTTGAATTTATGCAATACAATTAGGGCCAACACTCTTGGCTAGTTTTTGCAATTGGTATCACATCTATAGTTCAAATTTTGATAATATTTGGTTGTTTGAGTGTATTAAGTGTGCATAAAAGATTCTATTAATCTAACAATGTGATTAAGAGATATTTGGTTTTTGATATAAGAAGGTATTAGAAGTTGGTAGTTTGGGATTAGATAGGATTTCTATGATATCTAAAGATCTATTAGTCAAAACAAGGTGAAATTTGGCTTAGTATTAGAAGACTTAAAAATCAAGCTACACACCAATTTTGAGATATAGTTAACATTTAGAGAAGAAGAAATTGCTATTGGAACATCTACATCAACTTTTAAGTTTGTGGCTAAGTAACATCAACATGGTTTTTTGGATGTTTTCTCATAATTTGTAAGTTGGATTGGGCTGAATTTTTTTGATCATGTTAGAAACTTATTGTGGCATTTGTGTGAAAATTTTTAAACCGAGTGGATAATCAAATTAAGAGTTACAGCTTACTGAAGCTCACTAACTAGAATTAGGGCTTGCAAAGAAAAATCAAAATTGCCTAATTATGAAAGTAACAAGGTAATTGGAATTTGTGTATGGTTGAGGTTACTAAGAAGAGTGTTTTTGAGCACTTTGTATGGGTTTTAAGCACTTTTGAATTGAAATTTGAATTGTATTCTTCTTATATAGGTGAAACCTATTAGGGTTTTTTTGATACTTGTAAAATACAACTTTACCTTCCATAACCATGCCCAATGCATTTCCAAATAAGATAGCATGTAATATAACAACATCACAACTAAAGCTATCACTTGCACATTCAAATTGTAACAATATTTTATTAAATATCTTCACTCATTCATGTAAATTCCAAATTTTCTATTTTAATAAAGCTATGCAAGTCCTTCTAAAATACATCTTTTTTTCTTATACTTGTCTATAATTTAGAAATAATATAATTAAATGATATCCTTTAAATTATAAAACCTTGCATAACTTGTAAAATTTCTATCCATTCAGATTAAAATTAAATAAGTTTTTTCTATCTATTTGTATATATATATATATATATATATTAAACAAAACCCATTTAACAAGCTAAATGATTGTATAATTGTTGCAATAACCTTAAATCATTAATATTTGTATATAATAGAGATGCTTTTGTGATAAAATTATATTATAAAAAAATTACCAAAAAATATTATATGTTTTAAAATTTGTACAAAAATAGATTATTAAAGAATACCATTAATTAATAAAAATCATTCACATGTGACAAAGTTGGAGGAAATATTTATTAAGAAATTGAGGTAAAAAAAATCACATTACTGCAGAGTAAGTATTTGGTTTCAGTACTCATTGCTTTTAAATATTCAGCTCACATATTATTTCAAAAACCGCTGAAACTTTTAAACAGTTTTTTTCTGCTGGGTAAAAACTAATGCTAGTGCTAAATAATTATTTTGCATAAAATTCACAAAGAACATTCAAAACCAATCAACCAAGAATATTTGCCTGCAGTATTTGTAATGTGGCTAAGAATATTTGTAGAAGTGAAGTGATCTCTCCATCAATGACTCCTATCCATGGTATTAAATCCTTCACTCTTTGTGATCAGGCCTGTTTTGGATGAAAAATACATCATTCGTTACTTCTTCAACAGCGTTGGCTCATCCAAGAAGTAGACGACGGAAAACGGTCGTTCTTCCCGAACGATAAATCGGGCTTTCTGTTCTCTTTTGGAAGTCTTCGACGAAATTGGCAACGAGGAAGCAGGGAATTAGGGTTTTGAGCTTTTTAGGGTTTTAGCTCAAGGGAGGGTTTAGGGTGCCGATGAGCTCGTGTATCCAGTTCGTTGCCCTGATTCTGCTCAACTTTCCGCATGCCTTCGGTGAGTGCGACGGAGTCGGATCAAGGCTCCAGTTGCAACAGAAAATTGCTGCTCCTCGCCGGAGTAGCTCGGAGTTCGCTCTGTTGCGTTTTTGTGGTTCGTCGTCATGGCGGGCGGTAGGACACAGAAGAATAAGGCTCACAAGACACGGTTTGCGTCCAAGTCGTCCCGCAATGCCCACAAATTAGCAGCTGGTACTGATCATCGTGGGTTGGGTTGTTGTTGTAACTAAAAACTGTCTAGATTTTTGCGTGCTTTGCCCTCTTCGGCAATTTGCGAAGTAGCGCCTGTATTGTTCCTCTGTGTCCAATGTGATGTGTGCGGGAGGTTTCGGGTTTTTATACTATGTAGAATCCTCCCCGCGTTGGCGCTACGTTCTCACTTTTAGTAATGTCTCTGGGCGCCGAATTAGTGATTGGAGACTAGTTGAAAAGTGTAGCTGGTGTAGATGATCTATCTGTGTTGGTATTTTTCTTGGGTTGGTAGTAGTCATACACTTAAAATTCCACTGAGTTGATCATTCATCTAATCGTTATTGCTTTAATCGTGTGCTAGTCTAGTACCTTGTCGCTCTCGTTTCTCTCGCCTTTTTTTATTTTGGCACTTATGTGTCTATTGGAAGTCTCAACTCACATTGCGGGAAGGGCACTGATTTCCGGTCAATTTTTAGTTGTTGAGAATTGCTGCTCCAGTTCCCTCTGTCGACATTGGTGGGATTTTTATTTTATTGTACGTTGTTGGTTCATGTCCGAGAGAGCGAGAGTATGAATCTAGAAATGAATCTCGCCCACCGTGCTGGTAGGTATGTACTAGGTGTATTATCAAGCCGCAAAGTATAGTTCGCTGGTAACCTGATGTGAAATGAATGCGTAGGGTTATTCTCACTGGCATTTTTGATATATTCAGGTGAAAAAGTGATTGGCAAGGGTCCTGCGCGTGTGCCTCTGCCTGGTCAAGCTGCCCGGGATATTAGGCTTCAGCGAAACAAAAACGTACGGAATCCGAGTAGTCGTCGTCGTTGTTGTTTCGCTCCTTCTGGAGTAGAATACCCAACTTTCGCCATTTTGTCACTTGAGTGTGCTTTGAGTGTAATGGCCAATTCGCGAATTTGTTGAAATATTTCTCGCCTTCGTGTGAGCAGATTCGTGAGCAGAAGAGAGCCGGTGTATTGGCAGAGAAGCGTGCGACCAGCAGCTCTTCCAGTGCTCCTAGGATCTTGGTCAGTACTTAACTGGATTCCACAGTTTTGGATGTTGATTGCAGTTTCATTTTAAGTGCTATTTTTTTGGAACATGTTCTTGTTTCAGTATGTGTCTCAACGTGAGAATTGTGGCCCAGTTATGATTTACGATTACCATGCTGTCTTTTTCCCAGGCCCTTGTAGGTCTCTCTGCAAAAGCTAATGTTGAAGCTTTGAAGGATCGGATACTTTCAGCATGCCGCACCGAAGAAGCAAACGGAACAACCGGTCAAAATGACAATTCTATGGACATGGATAGTGCTGTTGTACGAGAGAGTAAGGAAACTGGATCAATAACTGTTGTCGTTCCCCGCTTCAAGCTTCGCCTTACGGTGAGTGGCCAAATCCTGATTTTTTTTCTCCCATCTCATACACCTGCTTATAATTTTTACCTATATCTTAATGTTTTCGTGAACGGACTATTAGGATTTTTGAGTGAGTGGTTACATTTTCACCTTGTAATGCTTAGATTGGTTTTACTTTCAACTCTTTCATCTTGCATGATGCCAGTTTTATGAATGTCTTGAATACCTGGATTTTGTTCATAACCTGATATTTCAATCTGGTTCCTTGATTGATAGATCATACAAGCTCCACGAAATGATCTTCAAGGATGTCTTGAAGTTGCGAAGGTATGTCCTGTACCTCACAGCCATCTTGTGAGATTCGTGTAACGGGACTATTCGCTGAAAGAAATGAGATGCAAGGTGTACATTTGTCGTATGGGGGGGGGACTCCAATTCTTCTTGCGCTTCTCCGTATACTGTTATGGTCTTTTTTAATTGTGCATATTGTCACTGTACGTTAACGTTGCTTTTATCTGTATAGACTTTCGCATTTAGTGGACTGGATGCAGGTGGCAGATATTGTTGCATTTGTTGGCCATGTTATGCCAGAGGAGGGTGGTTATATTGATCAGATAGGAAAGAAAAGTTTGTCTATGTTGCGATCACTAGGCCTGCCAGTGACTACAGGACTTTTAGTGGTAAGTTGATTCTCTTCATCTTATTACATCTGCGATGAAGCTACGATAGTTCGTGGAAGTGGGATTACTGTTTATGTTGTCATGTTTATAATTTGGTTTCGTCAGATTTCTGTATATGTGTTTTGTATATGGTTTCTGGTCTAAGTTTCACTTAGAAAAAAAATTGCAAGTCTTAAGCAAATCAAGATTTAAAGACACTTTAATAGTTTTTATGGTTTTTCCATCGTCAAATAAGAGAAGATGCTATTACAACTTGATTAGGGGCTAGACGATGTTTCGGCGAAGAAGAAATCGGAAGTCAAAAAAAGTGCACAAGCAGCCTTGCAATCTGAGCTTCTAGAAGACACGAAAATGCATGTTGCTGATTCTCAAGAGGAGTGCCAGCAGGTGTGATTTCGTTATGCTTCCTTTGTCGTGCTCATCTTCTTCCTGATTGAAGAAATTTAGCTGCAGCACTCTCAAAATAAATTACGGTTGGAAACAGTGGAGATATTTAAACGTGCAATTTCGTTTATTTTTGTTTGTCTTGTCAATGTCATCCCAAATTGCGGAGTCGTGAACTGCCAGTTATTAATGTTTTAATTTAATTTAGGTGTTGCGCCACTTAGCAGAGCAGCGACTATCAAACCCTGCATGGCGCGCTCAGCGTCCCTTTGTGGTCGGTAATCAGGTATATATTGTTTACATCAAAGTATTGACCTTTGTTAATGTACGTGCGCTGCAGTATCTCTATTTGGGGTTTGTATTTTGGAATTTTTGGTATCGAATGTTACGATATTACTACACTTCAATGTCTTCGCTTCTGTTTGGCCCTTGGAACTTTTTTTTTTTTTTTTTTTTTTTTTATCAGGGATTGACTTGCTGTAGCGGGTGTTTGAAAATGATTTTGTGGGCTATCCTATGTTCTTGTTACACAATATGTATATTTGTTTTGCAGCTTGAATACGAGGAAGATAGTTCTTCTCCAGGAACTGGTATTTTGCGTTTGGCTGGTTACGTTCGCTCTCGAGCCATCTCTGTCAATCAGCTGGTATGTGATATGTATCATGCTTCCTGTTCGTATGTTCATGTGGAAGATTCCTCCCTTGTTTGATCTCGCGCTGAATATCTTATTTATCATCCACAATCAGGATCGAGAATTAATTTTGGTGTGCAGGTCCATTTAGCCGGAGTAGGTGATTTTCAGCTCAAGCAGATTGACATGGTGGAGGATCCATGTCCTCTGAGGCAGCAGAAGCGACATACTAGTGGAGACGTTATGCAAGTGGAAAATGACCCGGGAGCCCAGAAGGTTACAAACTAACTTGTCGCCTGTATCTGTTATTTGCCTCTTGTCTTATACCATGTTATGGCATGTCTTAGATTTGTTGCCATGAACTATATGTCGTGAATAGTTGTTCTATACACTGATGTCGTCATTGCGTTTTATACGAAGGGTATTGGAACTTGTTCTATCTGCCTGCGGGTTTTGGGGAAATTCGTTTGTCTCGTTTCTCAGCGTTCTTTGTGATATTGCATTCAGGCGAGCTCTTCTGTAGCCGCGAACGCTGCTGTGCAGGAGCCTCTCATTGTTGAGAATACCCCTGACGATCTTGCTGGAGAACAGGTAGTTTTTCTAGCATTGTTGGATTTGAACGCTGTACCTAAATTTTGTGGTGACTGCTCTTAATAGAAACAACGGTCTGGTATTAGTATGGTTTGGATGACAACTGCCTGTGTGTTGTGTCCCTTGGTTCGAGATGCATGCGCAACGATATTGATTGTATGTCCTTCATGCTCGGTTCTATATCATTTTAAACCGATTTGTCACTTGCTGTAAGTGCCATCCGTTGTTGTTAACGTATTGACTATTTTTTGGCGAGTATTCAGACTTGGCCAACTGAAGAAGAGCTTGCACAAGCTGGAAAGGCGAATCGTCGAAAGAAGAAACGTGTGTTACCAAAAGGCACATCTGAATACCAGGTCATCCTCAAGATTTTGAACATACTCCCTTGCATGAGATCTGCTGGGTCACTGTCTGTTTGCTATGCATCATGTTAGCTTTCTCGTATTGCCAACTTATTTACTCATCGCCACATCTTATATCGACGTCTTTGATTGATAAGGTAGTTGTTAGTGATAATCTTGTTGAGGCGATGTGAACTTTGATCTCTTTTCCTTTCATTTTTGTCCAAAGACTTGAACCTGAATTCCAACTTACTCGTTGTTAAATATCGAACTTTCTTGTATTCAGGCTGCATGGATTGTGGAAGATTCTGACCAGGAGGAAGGGGGTGATGATGATGATGCCATGGAAGGTGATGGTTTGGATGATCAAGCTATGGATGATGATAGAGAAGGTAGTGAGATAAGCGAAGACGATAGAAAAACATCTGTTTGGGACGATGACGATGACACAAGGAGCGAAATGATGGTTAGTATACCGATTTGTATAATATCACCTGGAATCATGTTACGCGCTTAATTTAATTCGACGTGTAGTTTCCATGGAGCAAGATCAGAGTCCCTTGTATGCAACACTAAAACACGTGCCTACGTTTGCTGAACTATAGGCCTTGAACGATGCACATGTGTAACCTCAATTCATGCCCGTACACACCTAATTCTTTACCTTTGGTCTTAATGTTTCCAGGATGAAGAAAATCTGACTCTTGAGCAAAGGAAGGCAGAAATAGAGCGTCTGAAGGCAGCTCATGCTGCTGATGAAGGTACATTTGAGGCTTTCAATCGTGGCGCTTTTTGTCTTTCTGCATTGTTTTCTGGTGCTGAATTTTGATTTTCATACACTTTGATTGTTCTCATCGAAATAAGGTCTTAAACTTTGATGTTTTTCCGCATACCGCGTGTGCCTGCAGAGTTTCCTGACGAGGTGGACACTCCAAGTGATATTCCCGCTCGTCAGCGGTTTGCCAAATACAGGGGTTTGAAGTCTCTTCGGACTTCTCCATGGGATCCAAAGGTGCTCAATCTTCATATATCATGCCTGCCTTGAATTGATTTTGATGTGTAGAACTTTACAGAGTACAAGCTGATTGAACTGAATAGTTGTTGCAGAGGTAGTGAGTTTTTGCATGCACAAATAGCCAGTAGTCTCGTCTTTACACTCTTGGTTTCTTGGGATGCGCAGGAATCGTTGCCATTCGAGTATGCCAAGATCTTTGACTTCGATAACTTTGTTAGAACCCAAAAGACTGTGTTAGCAAAAGCCAAAGAACTGGACTCATGCACGCAAGAGGGGTGCTTTGCTGCTGGATGCTACGTGAGGCTACATGTTCTTAAAGTTCCAGCCTCCAAAGCTGAGCTCTTGTTAAAGTCGTACAAGACGAACCCAGTTGTGGTGTGCGGCCTTTTACAACATGAATCCAAGATGTCAGTTCTGCACTATAGGTACTGCTTTACTGATATCCTTATTTTTGTCACCGAGTTTGCGTGGTTTTGAAGTCTTGAAGGCTCTACACACTGGGAATCGTAATGTCTCTTTGTCCCTTGTGAAACCGTTTTCTGTGCCCTTGAGTCCTGTATACTGCCAATTTTAGCGGTTCAACACGCATCCTACGCATTACTCGTTTGGGTGATAGGGGCCATTCACTCGACTGTATTGATTCATCAACTTATGATTTTAAACTGCTGCGTTAATCTCTTATGGTTTCATCAAATTTTGTAACAGTATAAGGAAGAGCGAAGGTTATACGGATCCCATAAAGTCAAAGGAGTTGTTAGTTTTCCACAGTGGCTTTAGGCGACATCATACAAGGTATGAAGGGACTGCACGGTATATGAACTCCAAATTGTAGTTTCAATGAAGGTTGCAGTCTTGTTTTGATGGAGTTTGTGTTTCCTTTATTGCGGTTCTTCTTACAAAGATGCTCAAACGTTGCCAGAACAATGTGTAATTTGGTGTGTCGTTTTCGTAGCTTCCGTAACTTAGCCAGCGCTAAGGTCGCAGCTATTGCATGTTTTGAATCACTACGTTTGTTTATGCAGGCCTATTTTTTCTACTGATGATCTTAACATGGACAAGCATAAGTTTGAAAGGTTTCTTCATCCGGGTCGTTTCTCTATTGCCTCAGTTTTTGCCCCAATAAGTTTCCCACCTCTCCCACTTATTGTATTTAAAGAATCGGATCTACCAGAAGGAGTTAGCATGGTCGCCACTGGTTCTTTACGAAGTGTGGATCCAGATAGAATAATATTGAAGAAAATAGTTCTATCAGGGTACGTTGTTCCTTGCCCAGCTTGGTACTAAGCATTTCTCATCTCATACCCTGGTCAAAAAATTGTAGGATCTCTTCCACCTTAAAAATGTGTGCTGTCTGAATTCAAAAGAGCCGTGAAACTGTGGTATAGAATGTGAAACTCGACTGCAATGATGGTTTTCGTGTTAGCTCTGCGTAGTTATGTTCAGTATTGCTGTGAGGGAAAGTTAATTTTCCTATTGAACTTTAAGTTAATTGTACTTTGGGACGACTTGCAGAATATTCAATTAAGTTCCTGTGTGTATCCTGAACAGATATCCACTTAGAGTTCAGAAACGAAAAGCAGTTGTCCGTTTCATGTTCCACAATCCGGAAGATGTGCGCTGGTTTAGGGTACTTTCTACTACTTCTGTTCACTTTATTCAGGCATTACATAAGTAATGTAGACCTTTTCTTTTCAAATTTATCTATTTTTCATGATATTTTGTCATCACTTTCAAATGTCCTTGTGATGTTTTATATTAGGCGTTTGTTCTTTCGCTGCATTTCGTTTTATATGCATCAACATTATTTGCTTTGCAACTGGGTTGCTCATTGAACAATTGTGTAGTTCCTTACTGGCTTCCATCTTATTTCCTGTTTATGTTTAAGTCATAGCATTCTGTATTGATTAATTCAATTCGACATGAATGCGATGCAGCCGTTGGAGCTGTGGACCAAGTATGGGAGAAGGGGTCGGATTAAAGAACCTGTGGGCACTCATGGTACGTACAATGGATTGAGTAGAACCATGTTGGCCGCATCTTCTCGGGTTGATCCTTCTAATGTGTGTATAGAGCGGACATATATGATGTCCATTTGGTGGTGTTAAGTAGGTGCCTAGTGGACTTTTATTTGCACTGAGAATTTACTTAACGGCTTGGGACGGGCTCTACATAAGTTGGGCCTAGGTGAATGGCCACTAGTTTGAAGGATCATTGATGTAGGCAAGAAAGTTCCCGCTAACTCGATCTTAAAAAATTATAATTGCATAGGTTTTGGCCACAGATTAATTGGTGGTGTTTTTGCGTGCAGGTTCAATGAAGTGTGTTTTTGATGGAGTGGTGCAGCAAAGGGATGCAGTGTGTGTAAACCTGTACAAACGTGTGTACCCCAAATGGCCACAGTAAGTAAAGCGGATTCGAGTACCACATACTTATTATATTTGTTCCTTCAAAGCGGCAACGCCGCAATTTGGTTCTTGACCAGCTTCAATCCAGCATCCAAAAGGCATACCTTATGGTTACTATGTCATACTGGAGGTTACAAATCTCTACTTGCGTCATGTAGACAAACAGCCGAATACGAGGTAGTAATTTTTTAATACAGATTAGTTCCAATCCCTTGAAGCATGTTTGGAGTGGAATTTTTGGAGTTGAGATTTAGAATCTGCCCGGGAAAATGGAGGCGCACTGTCTTTGATGCCTGTGATGTCAGATTTTTCACGAAGTGGAGTTGTTTCCTTGCATGTCCGTCCAAGCATACATGCGCTATGAACTGTATGAAATGTGTACTTACATTCCAAGATTCTTCTTTGAAGAGGCATGTAATTTCTATGAGCGTTTCGATTCTTTGGTCAGAACCAGAAACAGCTCAAAAAACTTTTAACTCATATTTAGTGGAGATAAATTTTCATCTTCATTTGCTAGTGTTGTAGTACCTCGAATGCCCTAGGTACTCTAATTATTCATGTCAAATCTTGAGTCGTCTGAATTTCAAACCCTTTGACATTTGAGTTAAATGGTTATGGTGAAGTTCTTTTTAAAATGCTGAATGTATCGTTGCAATCCAACCATGGTCTTTATTTTTTACTCTTTTAGTTAAACATGGTTGCTGTTGGTGAGTATTAATTTCATTGGAATCATTCTCAAAATAGTTGTTTCGTTTTTATTTGCTATGTTAATCGCTTCAATGTTAAATTTAGGTTGAAACTTACAATCTTGCTCGACAAATTGACTGTTATCGTTGAGCTTTGCACAGAAAAGGAATATTCCGTAAAAGAAATGATAGCTGGACAGAGCAACTCTAAACTTCAGTTCTGTATCTTGTAAAAAATTGAAAGTTATGGATAGCTGGTTTCAGTTGATTTACTATCGCATGTTTTGAACTAAAAACCCACATAGGATAGATTATTAACAGATTTACAGTGTTTTATGAAAACGTAGTTTTATTGAACATGTAATCTTTAATTCATGCTTCTGATGTGGTATATGATCCCAAGATTAGATTAGGAGAAACACAAGTTTGAGGACGATTTAATACATGTGTTTACGAAGAATTTAAACTCATTCTAATGGGAACACAATTCCCTAGAAATAATAAATTATTTTGTGTTTATTATACTTTCATATTCATTTATTACTTTCAACATGGAATATTAAAAAAAAGAAAAAGTGTGAAGTAGGAATCTTAATCGAATTTTAAGAAAATTAATATCAAATATGTTTCTTTTAAAAACCTAGATGTACAATTACAAAAGCATGTATAAATGAAATTAAACTTATGACTAGTAGATTAAGAGTTTAAAAGAGTAAGTTATCTATCTATATTAGAGTATATGTAATATCTCTTGTTGATTCTTATCTTGATTTTAATACCTGATTTACTTTATAACCTAGGTATTATAGATGAATAGAGAGAAGTTAAAAAATTTGATAGTACATTTGGAGTATAAACAAGGATTAATAAGTAGTTGACGATACAAACATGAGAACTTGATTACAATGTATTTCCACATTGAGTGGAGGATTTTAACGACATTATTAAACATTTAAGTTTTGTGCAAGAATAAGAAGACCTAGTTTTTGTAGTGACCAAAAATGAGATTTGTTTTCTATTCTTGCTAGTAAATCCTTTGAATTGGAGATTTAGCACCTGTGACTACTTAAACAACCAATGAACAATCTCTAATTAAAAAACACTGCTCAAGGAGGATAGATGGCATTGCCTTAATAATTAGAAAACTTGGTTTTGATCAAAGGAATATGTATGGAGAGAAAACTATATATATATATATATATATATATATATATATATATTTGATAATTGGTAAAAATTTAAATAATTACAAAACTACTTAGAGGTATCTTATGCAATAAGCACCTTTGTTTGAATATCTTAAGATCAAATTTGGTGGCATTTGCAAAGATAGTATGCAACACATTAAAGATTTCAAAGAAGAGTATTGAAACACTCTTTGTATCATATATGACAAAATAATGCAATTTACACAACAAAATGGAGATAGATTTACAAAGCAATAGCTGGAAGCATTAAATATAAGAAAGTAAGATGTGAAGTTAGTAAACATAATATATTCTTATATATTATTATTATATAGAGGACAAGCTACTGTAGCTCAAACATTTTTTGTACTAGAGAAGTTGAATAGATGCTTCTGTGTTGAAGAAAAGAAAAAGAAAAAAGAAATCCAACTATTATAACTTCTACACTCACTTTAAGATAGCTATAGGTGGCTTAAAAAAGGGCCTAATGACTTCTAAGTCTATTAAGAAAATATTTGTGGAGTATAAAATTGAAGTAAATATCAACCTTTACATTCAATGTTAGAAGTTTAGAGAAGAATGCTATGGGAGAAATATATATATAAATATATATATATATATATATATATATATATACATACAAGCAAAAATTGTCTAAATAAAACTAAAAAAAATAAATCTATGAATCAAGAAAAGACAACTTCAAAGAATCTATGCCACCAAATAAATATACAATGCATAAAAATGATAAGCAATACACCACCAAAGTGCATTCTTAAATCTTGTGGTTGGATAAGACATTCAAAGGTTCAATGTTGGATAAAAATTTCACCATTGGCTCAATCTTTTGTATCTTAAATTATATAAGAAAGTGAATCAACTATAAGGTATAATAGCCTCAAATCATGGATGGCAAAATTATATCTAAGAGTTAATAGTTGAGACAAAGGAATAAAGAGTGTTTTAATTTTAGTTATAGAAAAGATAATTTTTTTAGATAATAGAGTTTGGCACAATTATAGATTAATATAAGTTAAAGTTCTTAAAGAAGTATGAGCCAAAGATACTATGGAGTTGCTTATAGTACATGATTTGGCAACATGTATTGACAACATTAGCATTAATATAGATATAAAAGATGCTATAAAAATATTTTAAAAGATATTTTTTTGTAAAGAAAGTTTTGTTTGTAATTTCATCACGACAACTATAAATGGTTTGATTATTGTTTTAAATAGGAAAAAATTATAGTTATAAAGAGGATAGATACATGTATTATCTTAGATAAGAGCAATAGTATACTATCGTCCAACTAGCAATTAGAGGTAATTCCAAGACTAATATATGGCCTCAAAAAAAGATAATAATCTTATTAGATAATGAGATCTAATAAATGGACATAGAAAGGAGATATATTAATATATGATCATTAAAAGTTCAAATTTTACATACTTTTGTAGGACTTGATTTTCTTTTAAGTTCATTGACTTGAAAGGTTATAAAGGTACTTTAGCTATAATACAAATAGAGGATGTTCATCTAATATTTAGACATCTATATAATATCAATCTTTTAAAAAGAGATGAAATCAAGTTAAAATACAAAGAGTTGTATGATGCCACATCGAAAGAGCTTTTAGATAGAAAATATGTAGTGCCTTTGGAATGCCAAAATAAAAAAAATAAAAATAAAAATTTTTCAAAAAAAAATAAAAAATAAAGATTGGTTTCTTATAAATTAGATTAATATCAAGAATAATTAATATTAAATTTTAATAGAAAATGAGTCATTATATGTAATTAAAAAGATAAGACTCTTTAGTACTTTAAATTTGAAAATAAGATACTTCAAATTGCAATTAAATTTTATACATAGAATAAAGATGATATTTTAGAGAATATATGGCAATAGAAGAGATATATTTTGTATTGGAATTTCTTATCTTCTTGCTTAAAAAATATTATTTTATAATTTTAATATATTATAGATTTAGTCGTGAAAGGATTCTCATTTTTTCAATGTTGCAAAGATAAAACTATCTTTAGTGATATACCAAAGGAATATATAAAACTTGAAATTTTTTATTTGAAAACTTATAATTGGTAGGATTATTCCTTAAAACACAAAAAATCAAGTTTTTTTCTCATTATAATGTTCTAGTTAGACCCTAAGATTAAACCATGTGCTTTGGAAGCATAAGAACCAAAACTAAAAGCATTAAAAATAAACCTTTTATTCTTAGAGATGCACCAACGTAGATAGTCTCTTCAAAACTAATAATTTATTAAGAGAGATTTTATTCTTGTAATTTTAGTATATTGGCTGAGCCAGTAATTCTATTGACATAAAATATTTATAAATGGATATAGAATTCTCTAAAGAAAAATAATTTGAAGCTATAAAACAAGTATTAGAACTTGATATTAATATAAAGAAGGCTAAATACTTGACCACCTTTATAATTCTGTATAGATTGGAATATATTAGAAATTTGACTAATATTGTATCAAAAAGATGTTAAAATCAAGAAATAAATTATTATACATACTTTCTAAAGAAAAACTAAAATAGAATAAAATATATTTAGAAATAAGGTATGTGATAATATATATTTTTTATTAATTTAGAAAATATACCTATTACTTTTCAAAAAAAAGAAAAGATATCTCAATAAAGATATTTCTATTTAAGATAAATTTTATTAAAAATATAGAATATTAATAAATTTGACTAAGATAATAGAATTCTGACACATTAAAAAAATAAATGATTTATGAATGGCTAATTATACCTAAGTTGGATTGATATGTAAAGATTCTATACAATGTTAGAAAATATATTTAAAAATAAAATCTTCTTTCTTTAAGAAAAAATTAATTAATAATTCAAATAGAAATTAAATTTTTTATTTTATTATTTTATAATCTAGGTTTTTTAAATTTATAAAATCGGACTTTCATTTAATATCAAAAAAATTAAGTGTCTGTTTAATGAATTATTTTTATAATATACACTAGTCAATTGCTTAGTTCAATTGCTTAATTCCCTAGTGATATTAGATAAAAGTAAATTATGAATAATTTCTCTAATTTAAATATTAGAAATGATTTTTTTTATTATATTTAAAAAATTATATTCTTTATGTCTTCTAGTCTTACTTTATTGCTCTTTTATCAATTTGAACAAGATAAAATTTATGTAAAATTTCATCTAAGATTTAAAAATTATACCTGGTTATTTATATTCATATTCATGTATAAGGTAGATTAAAATTACAATTTTTTTATTAAATATTATAACTTCTTTATATTTAATATGTAATTAAAATACTAATATAATTATTTATGATTGTCATATATTTTATGTAATATTATATATACTATATAATATATAAAATATATGACTATTATAAGTAATACTATATAAAATATTATATAACCAAATCTTTTAAAGTACATTGCAATGTTCCTATTACATCTCTAAAAGCTCTAGGAACTACAAAATAGTTTCACAATACACACTACTATAGTATTATTGGCATAATAAAGGACTAGATTATATATAATAGGCATAGTTTAAAGTTGCATCTCAATTGTAGTCAATACCAAAAAAATAAAAATAAAGTGTAAAAAAAAT